ATGTGGGACACGGCCTCAGCATGGCCGGAGAAGCAGTGCATCGGTGTGCGCCCGGATCCAAACCCGGGCCGCCAGCAGCAGAGCACACGCACTTAACTGCTAAGCCACTGGGCCGGCCCCCCCCAGCTACATTTAAAGCTCAGTGGAGACTAAATGCTAGGCTGAGGTCATCTTCCAAAAGTCTTGCAAAATCTTTTAGGTACAATATGCTTAACACATTCTTTCAGATTAAGATCTTATCAAGGGTGAAGAATGCAAGAAAAAAAAGTACATCCAACTTTAACGCCAGAACTGGGATCCCTGGGGGAGGGAGGGAGCTGGAATTCTTGCTGGCGGAGAAGGGACTGGGCATGTGCAGAGTAATGGTAACGCTCCCACTCACGGAGCACTCTGTGTCAGGCCCCTCACAGGCATTCTCTTACGAATCCTCACAACTCTGTGAAAAAGGCATTGTCATTATCTCCATTTCACAGAGAAGGAAACTGAGGCACAGACAGGTTAAGAACATGCCCAAGGTGACACAGCTTGCGAGCAGCAGAGCTGGGATTTGAATCCAGGTCCATGTATTTTGGAGCCTGTGTGTTGCGTCCCTGGATGTGCAAGACTCCTCCCCAGGAACCCAGGACCCAGCCGATCCCTCCTCCAGGGACAACATGGATGGCATAAAAAGTTTTTGTTGTGTCTGAAATTAAAAAAAAACTTGGTAAATTTTAAAAGAATGACTAATGGACAACTCTTCTTCCCCCAAGACCTCATGAGAGGAAGCCAAGACCACCTCCTAACGGACTCTGGACTCTGAACTCCTGCAAGTAGGGTCTAAGTCAGGGTCAAGTTTGCATCCCGGGGCCTGGAAACGGAGCCTGGCTGTCATCAGGAACCTCAGATGGGTGATGCGTGAGTGGGAGGGTGGAGCTCAGGAGGAGACGGGAAGAGGAACTGGGCTGGGAGCCTGGAGCAGGGAGGAGCCCTACTGCATCCACACCCCGCCAGGCTCTGGCTGAGCCCTGCTGCCCGTGGCTGCTGACAGCACCCCACGCCTCATGGTGCCTTCCTAGGAAATGGACAAGGTGCAGGAGAGAGAGATGACGTTTGGCGTCGAGAGAGCTCCCCAGGGATTTGAGGCTTGGGTGGACAGCCAGGAGAGGCTGCAAAGTCTTCTTCCTTAGGGAAGAGGCCAGGGCAGGTGATTGACCTCTGGCTTTAAGTGTTACCCAGGGCCACCCCAGGAAGAGGAAGGAGGGGAGGCGCAGAAAGAGGACAGTAGAGGGAAAAGGGGGAGAGAAAGGTAGAAAGAGAAAGAGACAGGGAGGGAAAGAGAAAATGCTGATGAGCACGAAGGCAGTGGCACATGTGATCCTGTCTGAGCTGCCCTCTGCCCCGTCCATCCCGGCTGAGGAGAGCTGGTACACTCTCACTGGAGCTGGCACTGACCATCAGGAGGGACGCTGGCCACAGCGCGGGAGCAGGAACCAGGGCTCTCAGTGCCCAAAAGTGCCCTTTGAGTTGGCGGATGGTGGGGGCTCCAGGGGAGGGGCTGCGGGGGTGGGGGGCACATGGCGGGGTGGGGGCACAGTGACTTGTGGCTAACCCTCTGGTGCCTACTGGCTGCCTGTCAGCCACGCCTATAGGTGACCAGAGGTGAGGGTCCCCCGGAACCCAGCACACACGTGAGGCGGAGCCTCCTGGGCCAGCTGCCCACAACTCCCCGGGAGGCAGGCGGTGTGCTGCTCAGCTAGGCAGACCTGGATTCGAATTGCAACAATCCCCTTTACTCTCAGTGTGGCCAGGCGAGTTACCTCTCCTGAGAGCCTCGCCGGTCTGGTCCGTAAGTGGGATAACAGCCCGCCGTCCGTAAGTGGGATGACAGCCCCTTCTTGCGGCACCACGCGTAGGGGGCGGCGCCAGGCCAAAGCCTCCTCCCAGTGCCTGTGGGGTGGGGGCTGCTCTTCCCTCCTCCTCCCACCGCTCCCTCCGCCAGGGGCTGGCATCTCCTGTCGGCCTCTTGGGCCTCTCTGAGCCTTTAAAAACAGAGGGCAGTGGCTTCCCATCTCAGAATGAAATTGAGCTCACAAGACCCCACGAGTGGTTCTCAACCCTGGCTACACAATAGGGTCATCTGAGGAGCTTTTTTTTTTTCCTGTGAGGAAGACCAGCCCTGAGCTAACATCTGCCAATCCCCTTCTTTTTGCCGAGGAAGACTGGCCCTGGGCTAACATCTGTGCCCATCTTCCTCCACTTTTATATGGGACGCCGCCACAGCATGGCTCGACCAGCGGTGTGTCAGTGCGTGCCCGGGATCTGAACCGGCGAACCCCGGGCCACCGCAGCGGAGCGCGCGCACTTAACCACTTGCGCCACCGGGCCCGCCCCTCTGAGGAGCTTTTAAAAAGTACTGGTGCCTGGTCCCACTGCCAGAAACCCTGAGTGAATCGATCTGAGCTGGAGCTGGGCATCAGCTCCTCCTAAATGCTCCCCGTGCAGAGCTGGAAGGGCCGGCCCTCCAGCCAGACTTCCTCCAGCACGCTCCCCTCAGGGCCTTCGCTGTGACACTCTGCCCTTGGGGGCCACGTGGCTCCCCCCACGACATCCTCTCAGAGAGGCCCTGCCAGCTACGGCAGCCCCACCCCGCGCCGTCGCATCTCCCCCAACTCTGCCTGGCTTTGCTTCATCACTCGACCCCTTGATGTGCCGTGGGTTCATCTGGGTGACGTCTTTCTAAGCTCTGTGAGAGCAGGGGCGTGGTCTCGCTCGCTGCCCCATCCTCAGTGCCCTCCGCAGCACCCTGGCACACAGTGGGCACTTGCTGAAGATCTGTGGAGGGAAAGCCAGCTCCGCCGGCAGGTCTGAGCTCCTGGGAGGGGAGGGCAGAGAGCCATGCGTTTTGGTGTCCTGGCGCCCAGCACAGGGCCAGGCTGTGACCAATTCGTAGTGCTGATGATTTGCTCTGAGACAGAGGGGCTCATGGGGTACTGTGGAGTGTCAAGACTGCAAGCGGGAGTGCGAACAACGATGGAAGTGGAAAGATGGCCAACAGGGGCTGAGCTGCTCCTCCCTCCTTGAGGGCAGCAGTGCCGACACGTGGCAGGCCCAGGCAGCCCAGCAGGGCGAAGGGAGCGGTGGCCTGCAGGCATCAGCCCTGACCACTGGACCCAGACCGTCAGGAGCCCACAGGAAGGGAAGGGGGGCGGGGAGAGCCAGCCCCAGATCCCACCAGGGTGGGAGCTGATGTGGGGCAGCGCATGGGAGCGGGGTCACCCTCCAACCCTGCGGCCGCCATCAAATAGGACCTATGTCAGGCGGCTGCAGGGCTGCTGCAAACCACAAGTGCCCCTGCCAAGTGGGCACAGTGAAGGGAAAGGCCAGTCGGGCTGGACATTCCTGACCCACCCCCCATCCCAGGAGCAAATGAAAAAGTGAGGCCGGAGGGGAAATGACTCGCGAAGGGTGCTTTTGCCCAGTGGAATGGGGCAGGCCCGTTTGTGAGAGCCATTCAGAGTAAGGAAATGACGGCGGGGGTGCCCAGGACACAGGGCTCCAGGACTCCGGCCCCGTGTTGTGGCAGTCTGGGCCCTGGAGAGCCTGGTGGCAGCCCTCGCAGTCCTCCCGCCCCAGCAGCTCAGAACCAGTCATGCTGCCCCTGCAGCTCCCCTCTCCAGAACCATCAGTTTTTCCAGTGAAAGCCCTTGGGCAGTAACTACACACAAGGCCTGGTGTGAGCCTGTTCAGCAGAGCCCCCAAGCCTTCAAGGGCAGCTCAGAGTGCCTTGATGTCTCCACATGGACCTTGGAAGGGCCCTCGGCCATGTGAGCCTCCTCGACAGGACCCAAGCTGCAGAGCAAGAACAGCTACCCCCAGGAAGACTCCCAAAGGGGCAGGAGCCTCTGAACTGGTGGGTCCGCTGCCTGTCACACCGGGTGGTCATCAAGGCGCTCCAGCAAAGCAGATTCTGCCCTGGGGCCTTCCTCGTGTTGCTGTCCCTGGCTCCTGGGGCCTGCACTGTCCACACCTTTCCTCTTCTCACTCTTTCCCTTCCTTGAAGACCAAGGGCTGGGGTGGCAGACAGACCTGGGATTCTAATTTGCTTTGTGACCGGGCAAGTCATTTAACCCCTGGGACCCTCACTGTCCTCCTCTGCAGAGTGGGGAGAAACGGGCTGTTGTGAGGATTCCAGGAGACCTTCTGCACAGTGCCTGCCACATGGCGGGCGCTTATGCACCTCAGGGCCCCTCTGGTCTCCGTCCAAATGCAGCCGGGAAGGCCCGACCCTGATTCCCGCCCATGCCTTTCAGGCCCTGCCCTCCCACTGAACACTGACTGTCCCACAGGTTGGGTTCTGGCTGCCTACAAAGAGGCAGGGAGGTCCAGGCTGGTGGGATTGGTGCTGGGCCGAGAATCACGCTGGTCCACTCCTCACTTCCACGGCTCTGGGAGACATCACCCAACCTCTCAACACTAGCTTCCTCCTCCGGAAAGCAGCCACTCCTCAAGTGTGCCAGCAAACTGGAAAGTTCTCACACCCAGGCACGAGGCCACCGGACAGGGAAGGTCAGGAGGCTGGTTTGGGGCCTGGCATTGTCAGAGAGGTCTTGGGGAGAACAGCTGGACACTGAATTGGAAAACAGCAGGATGGAGAACTCTGGGAGCCGTGTGCAAACGGAGGCTGTATACAGACCCAAAGCAAGACGTGGTCTGGGCAGCAGGACAAGGGATCCAGGTTTGTAGCAATTACTGCTGGGCCAGAATTAGTGAGGCTTGTACCCTTGTTCTGCTGCCCTGGCCTTGGCCATCCCCCATGTCAACCCTCTCTGAACCTCCCTCCCACCTTCCTCTCAAGAAGTCAGGAAGCCATTTAGTTGGGGGAGCACAAGAATCAGCGACAGGGGCCAGAACTCCGGACCACTCCCCGGCTCCTTCCTGGCTGTCCGGGCTGGCCCCAGCCCTCAGGCACCAACCTGGGCCAAGGCCGGGATGCAGAGAGCAGGGAGGGTGCAGGGCACCACTCCCACGGCCCAGGGTGGGTTCAGAGACACACACGAACCAAACTTTCCACTTCACATATGTATATACACACACACACAAGCAAGCCCCTCCCACACTCACGAGGCCCGGAGCAGGGCCTTCGTCCTCCCTCTCTGGCATCAATCTGTCAAAACCAGCTTTTCTGCACAAGACCACTTGCTCTTTCTGTACAACATGAATTAAATATATTATCTGTCTTTGTGCTGAGTCATGGGACATTCACAGTACAGTGGGGGAGGAGTGGAGGGATTTGTGGGGGCCAAGACCCTCAGGGCTGCTCCTCAGGCTGAGGGGGTTGGCCTGCAGGGGGCTTGTGCAGGAAGGATGGGCCCAGCCTCCCCTTGGCCTTGTCGTTCAAAACTCAGCCAAGTGTTGCGGAGACCTCGGCAATATAACGGGGGTGCTCTGCAGGGGTGTTGAGGGGTGCCTTCTTCAGGGGCCGTGGCCCCTCATCGTCTCAGCCCCCTGGGGCAGGGCTCTCAGAATCAAAGCCTGCCCTGTCCCGTCTCACCTTCTTCCACCTCAGACAGTGGCATTTACACCATCCCTCTTGTGACCACCCTCCGGGGAGGCCAGGGGCAGGGGGAGGCTGGTGCCAGGGTCGCGTGGAGCAAAGATAGGGCCACAGGGGCTGAGAAGGAGGGGACGCGGGAGGCTGTGCCAGCCCCAAGGAGCCGAGGCTGGCCTGGCACCAGTGTCAGGGTGACCCTGCATATCTGGGTGCCGCCCCCGGGACCCTGTCCTGGGACTGGCTTACCAGCGCTCAGTCTGATAAGCAGGAGGTACTCTCGGGAGAGGGTGGACAGGGAGGAGCCTGGCTCAGAGCTCCAAGGGCAGTGAGTACTCTATCACCTGCCAACTTAAGGCAATCCCATTCAGCCTGGGGAGACGGGCAGGGCTGGCTGAGGTGGCAGGAGTGCAGCTGGCAGTACCAGACCACCTCTGGACTCAGCTGGGCATCCAGCGGCCTATGGGGCCTCTGGCAAGGAGTGGGGAATGGGAACAGGGTGGGGTGATGAGAAGAGGGGACGGGCTATCATTCCCACTGCCGCTCCGGAGACACTCTCCTCTCAGGTGGGCGGGGTGGGCTTTGGCACACACGTTGGCACCTGGATTCCAGGGTCCCAGACAAGATGCCATGTCACTTCCTGCTCTCAGACAGCAAAGAAGTAAAAGATGTGTGGGCTCCAAGGGGTCTGTAAGGGGCTCTACCAAACGGGTGAGGCAGGCAGGCAGGCCCTGGGAGAGGCCAGGTGGGGCCCCTGTCCAGGGCACCAGGATTCTCCTGTGGGTCCCACGCCGGGGCCCGAGCACTTCAGGGTGGGAAAGCGTCTGAGGTTCCTCCCTGTGCCCTCCTCTCCTCCCAGGGAAGCAGCTCATGCCCAGGCCTTGGGCAGGTGACAGAAGGCTTGGTGTCCAGGCCAAGGCCGCTGGGGAGGCACGTAGGAAGCAGCGAGAGGAAACAGCCGTGGCCAGCAGTGCTGCCGAGAGGTCTTCTGGGCCGGCCGTTAGACCCCCGCTCCTCAGTCCTCCGAGGGCCACACAGGCCCCAGCCTGCCCCCAGTTGTGCTCAGTGTGACCTCTCGTCCCTTGGGCTGCAGCAGGGTGGGCACAGCTCAGAAGATGCTCTGTCGCCGGCTCTTCCCTCGTCCTGGAGAACAGAGGGCAAGAGGTGGGACTGCAGGCAGGAGGCTGGGCCAGAGGGTACCCGAGACCAGGAGGGAAGGGCGCGCCACAGAGCTACTCCGATACAGCCAGCAAAAGGATGCACTTGGGAGCCAGTCAGTCCTGGGTTCAAATCCTGTCTCTGCTACCTACTAGCTATGTGAAATTGCAACTTCACCTCCCAGAGCCTCAGTTTCACTGACTGTGAAATGGGGAGCATTAACAGTACCAACTTCAAGGGGTGTTTTAGGATTAAATGAGATAATGCATGGAAAACGCTTGTCATGTCCGAGGCCATCAGCCGTCCTGGAGACAAAGCACAGTCCTCCCAGGGCAGAGGCTAGTTAGAGAGCTCAGAGTCTGCAGAGAGAAGGCGCCAGAGAGAGCTCGCACCTTTGTCAGGGCTACTGTCAACTGCCACATTCTATCTTGGGTAGGGGTTGAGGAGGGAGGCACTGGGGGAGGAAGCCTGGGCAGGAGATAGGGAAACCAGCCCCTTTCCTGCTGCCCATGGGCCCCCGGAAGAAAGGCCAACGTCAGGGAGGCCATGCTGACTCTCCATTGCAGGAGGGGCTCTGGGCGCTATCTCTGTCCCTCGAGAGGGAGGGGGGAGCAGCCTGCCCTGGTCTTCTCTAACAAGGGGAGGGGAGGCACAAGCCCCTACCTGGCTGCTGAAAGGCCAGGCCCCGGTAGCCTGGGTCCTTCTGAAGCTGGATCTCCTTCAGGGAGAAGATGGAGGCAGCTGGGGTGAGAGAGGAGAAAGGCAGGGAGCGCTGGGTGAAGCCGGCCCTGCTCCTGGAGCCTGTGGCCCCCACACCCACTGAGCAAACCGAGCTGGGAGCAGCCCCAGGCTGGGGAACCCCTTCAGACAGGACAGCCCAGGAGCACCTAACTGGGCCTTTCAGGCAGCGTCGCGGATCCACAGAATTTGGCCCCTTAGGTACAAACGAGAACGCAAGGAGGGGAAGCCACCTGCCCAAGGCTGCTCAGCGGGCCCCAGCACCTCCGGCCTCTTTGTTCTGGCTCTTCCTGCCCACACTGCTGCCCCCTTCCCTTGGTTCTGGGGTGGCCCTGCCCATCCCGCCGCCTCCCCAGACACTCACTGTCTTCGAGCTGGTGCACGCGCTCCCCCAGAGACCGGAAGTAGGGGTGGCTCAGGGCCGCCTCTGCCGACAGGCGCCTCTTGGATTCGCACTGAAAGGCACACAGCCGGCTACTGGACCCTCCGGTAGCGCTACTCCTCTGCTAAGCTAGATGGCCAAGGTGGGGGCCCTGAGTCTAACCTGAGAAGCCCCTGGGGCCCGCAGCCAGCCCCCACCTCTAACCCACCCCACAGCAGCCCCAGGGCTCGGGCTCCCGGGGCTCCAGCCACCAGGAGAAAACCAGAAATGGGACTTCTGGAGTGACCTCTTCTTGGGATGGAAATGTAGATGCTAACATCAATAACAGTAATATTAACATGTAATAGTAACAGGTGCCCTCTCCTGTGTGCTTATTCAAGACAGGCACCATACTAAGCATGTTCCATAATCCCAATTTACCCTCAGGACCATCTTATAAAATATGTGAATTATTAATTCCACTTTGCAGTTGAGGAAACTGAGGCACAGAAAAGTTCTGTTAACTTGCCCAAAGCTACACTGCTAGTAAGTGGGTCTGCACTGGGGTTTGAGATGGGAAGTCTGTGTGGAAACCAGAGCTCATCCTGAGCCTCGGCCTCGGGGTGGGGTACAGGGCGGATGTTCAGACTAGCGGCAGAGGTGGGGCAAGGGCGGGGCGGGGTCTCGGGACATCAGCTCTCTGTGACTGCCTGTCCCTGGGCCCAGCGGGGGCACACTCACCAGGAGGAGGCTGGTCAGGAGGTTGATGCCTTCGGTGTCCAACCTGCAGGGGGAAGGAGCTGGCAAAGGCCTGGCCTGGGTGGGGTGGGGAGGGCGGGGCGCGTGGCCACCTCCAGGAGGGTCAGCCAGGACCACAAGCAGCAGAGGAGGTGTGGGGAGGCAGGGCTACCTGGGAGCGTGGCTGATGAGCGGCTGGGGGAGGTACCGGGGGAAGTTGTAGGCTCGGAACTCGGACAGGGCCGTCACACCAGGCCACGTCTCTTCTGTAGGGGTCCCTGGGAGACGAGAGAGGGTGGGGAGGGGTGAGGGGCCAGGGCCTTGAGCGATGTGGAGGGGTGCAATGTAGGAGGCGGGGGTTGAGAGATTGAGAGGGGGCGGGGCTGCTCTTCCCAGCCCGGTATGCGCCCGGGCTGGACAGAGTTCTGGCGCCCCCTGGTGGTGAGAGGGAGGGCGCGCAGGAGACTGACCGAGGAGTCGGAAGATGAGGTGCAGCTCCTCCTTGACCGTGGAGCCGGGGAAGAGAGGCCTCCCTGTGGCCATCTCGTAGTGGATGCAGCCCACGCCCCTGCGGGGGACAAAGGGCAGGGGCGGCGTCAGGCTGTGCCCTGCCACGATGGCTCGGATGGGTCACGGCCTGGGGTGGGTGGCCCAGGGCAGAGGAGGATCCTAGCACAGCTCAGCCCCCCAACTACAGCCTGGGGCTTCTCCAGGCTCTAGGACGCTTTGACCTCTCCTCTGGCACTCCGCAGGGTTTGGGTCTGCACAGCCAGCACCCATGTTGCAGCTCTTTATGCAGTGTTGTCTCAAACCGTTTCCATGTGTGCCCCACCGGCAGAGAGAAGTCCATATATCCATTCTAGGGGACCCCGGGCACAGGGCACAGAGGCCATTCATTGGAAAACTGTGTTTTAGCTTTAAAATTGGACTGATTTTTCATTCTACACCAAATCACATTAATGCATGTTAATTTTAACATAAAAATAATATATCCTTTCCAAAATTTTCAGTAGAACTGACGGTTGGGGAAGATTCATCATATTTACTGTGGGGGCCCCTCCTGTACCCTCTGGTAACCCCCTACATACCGTTGGGGGAATATTTCAAAAGCATGGCCTTGGAGAGTCCATGTAGAGCCAGGGAAACCCCAGTGTAGTTCAGACTTAATTCTTCAACATCCAGTTCAGCAGGATGCCACACAGCTTTTAGTCAAAGGAGGTTAGACAGCTCTTCCCAGAGGCCCTTGGGGCAACAGAAGGGAGTCTGGAGGAGTGGGAGCCCCCCCCCCCCCGATCCCACGGCACCCACTCACCACATATCGATGGGGGTAGAGTACTCTGTGGACCCCAGCAGCACATCGGGGGGCCTATACCACAGGGTCACCACCTCATTGGAGTAGGTCTTTGTGGGCACCGACTTGGCCCGGGCCAGCCCTAGGGACAGACATGTCACTGAGCCACCCTCCCCCAGGGGACCTGCATCCTGGGGAGACTGTTAGACCCCCCCCCCAGCCCCGTGGGCCCCAGCCCTCACCAAAGTCGGCCAGCTTCAGCTCCCCCCGCTCGTTGATGAGCAGGTTCTGGGGTTTCAGGTCTCGGTGCAGGATTTTGCGGTGGTGGCAGTAGGCCAGGCCCCTGAGCAGCTGGAACATGAAAATCTGGGGAGGAGGGAGGGGAAAGATGAGCAGTGGAGGGGGGGGGCATGTCCCAGCGGGGAGACCCTGCGCCTCTGCCCCACGGCTGCGATGGGGATGGGGACAGGGATGGGGGCGGGGAATGTACCTGGAGAGCTACCTGGTTCTCCTGCCCGTGCTGCAGCTCTGTCCCAGGCCCCATCCACCCCAGGGAACCCATCCAGCAGGGAGGGTACCAGGTGTGTGGAGGAGCAAGAAGGTGTGGGAGGCCAGCGAGTTCTCCAGCCTGGGAGCTGAGGGGGGCCACAAAGGGCCAGGAAGCCCACCCGTGTGGGGATGTATGTGCACAGACGAGGTCACTCAGCCCCCTGAACTTCCCTGGAAGCCTCCCTTCATCCTGGCAGGTAACTCAAACTCCCATCTGACAGATGGGGAAACTGATGCTTAGAGTTGGGGGGGAGGGGTCCCTGCTACGCAGGCTCTCACCTTGACGTTGTGCATGCTCATGAGGTTTCCACAGTGGTCCAGATACTGCTTCAGGTCACTGTCCTGGGACACAGAGCTTGGCTCAGCCCCGCCCTGAACTGACCTCAGGCCAGAGGCCCCTCCCTGGGCAGGGCCCAAGCACAGGAATGGGACGGGTCCCTGGGCTCCGAGCTGCCTCTAAGCCTGCATGGCAGCATCTGAGAACCTGATTCTAGAACAAAGCCTGGGCCACCCCCACCCCCTCCCTCACCCTCTCCCCTCCCCTCCCACAAGGAGCAGAAGCTGCCAGCCCCAGCCCGACTCACCAGGTACTCAAACACCAGGGTGAGGGACCGCTCTGTATGGATGAGGTCGTGCAGGGTCACTATATTGGCATGCTTCAGGTTCTTCAGCAGAGACACTGTGGGGAGACAGGCCCGCCTGGGTTCCTGGGGCCCCACATGCCCCTCGCACCCTCTCTTCCTGGGATCAGCCCCAGGAGTCCCCACTCCAGGAATGACCCTCTGCCCCCAGGCTCCCACCGAGGCTCAGGCCAATGAACCCCTCCTCCCAGAAGCCCCCGGGAGTGCAGGACCCTAAGAGGCTGTACCCTCTCGGATGGCAGTGCAGGGCGCCCCCTCCTCGTGCTCCAGCCGGATCTCCTTCAGGGCCACGAGGTTCTCCGTCAGTTTGCTGCGCCCTTTGAAGACTGTGGCATAGGTGCCCTGGGAACAAGAACCCTGGCTCAGGCCCCACTCAGGCCCCACTCTCCTCTGTCCAGGCCCCTACCCTTTTGCGCCTCTGCCTGGGCTGTGACTTCGGCCAGAGCCCCCTCCCCTTCTCCCTTCACTGAAATTCTCTGTCCTCCGAAGCCCACTTCTCTGTGAAGCTGCCCTAACTCCTCACAGTCAGGGGGCTGTCCGTCTTTAAGCCCCCAGCAGGCCAGGTGCCCCCTGCTCTGGCATGGGTTTGGTTCTTCCTCATATTAGGTTGAGGTTTACATTAGGGTCTCCTCTTGGGCTCCTGGAGGGAGAGGGCTGTGTCTCCTTCCGCAAACATTCGCCCACCCCCCAGCCTGGAGCACAAAGCCTGGTGGAGACAATGGAAAGAGCTCATGGTTCCACAGCCCTCCCTCTGTGCCAGGCACCGTCTGCGTGCCGCATGAAGCCCATGATGGTAACCTCTCCACTCCTCACGACAACCCGTGAGGTAGAACAGTTACACTCTCCATCTGACAGAGGAAGAAACAAAGGCACAGAGAGACATCACATAACTCGCCCAAGGCCACAGAGCGAATGAATGGAGTGAGGATTTGAACCCAGACAAGAAATACTCACAGAAAAAAAAGACTAGAGCCCACAGGCGACTCCACCCTCCTGCCCTCCTCCAGGACCTGGGCCCACCTCAACACCTGCCAAGATCAGGCACTTCTCTGGGGCAGGGGCAGTGCGAGGGCAGAGCAGGGAAGGCGGGGAGGCCCTGATGGTTAGGATGGTTAGGATGCCTGGCTGCCCCGAGGACCAAGCCCAGCCTCTTACCTCCCCCAGTTTGTCCAGTTTCACATACGTTTCCAATTTCCCAAAGCCGATGTCTGACTGAGGGGGAGAGACATAGGTCCTGTGAGCTTGAAGGCCCGGCAGCCCCACAAACACGATACCTCCCCCATCCAGCCCCCAGGAGGGAAGGAAATGACCTCCATCAGGGAGAGGGAACGACTGAGGCTAGCCAGGCTGAGGGCAGCCACGAATCCTTCCTCTTCACCTCTCCCCCGGCCCTGTGATAAAGGCGGGAGCCCCTCCCTCCCCTGGCAGTACAGGGTGAGGTGCTAGCGCTGCTGCACCCACGGTCGCCACACTCCTTCCTCACCTGTCTATCTCTGTCTTGCTCAGACCACTAGCTCCTTGAGGGCAGGAACTGTCTGTTTCTCCACTGTACCTCAAGTGTCCAGTTCAGAGCCCACCTCCCCGACAGCCTCTCATCAGCACACTTCTTCCAGCTCAGTGGTACCCAATTCTCAACAGTGCAGATTCCTGGGCCCCACGACCAGAAAGGCTGATTCTGTAGGTATCTGGAGCAGGGCCCAGAGTCCATGTTCTGTCAGATGCTCCCAAGCAAATCTGAGGAGCAGCCAGGATGAGAGGCAGGTGCCAGCTAGTCTACTGATCTCACCCCGGTGGAGAGCCTGGGGCCCAGAGGCGACTTGGAGCTCAGCTCCAGCCCTAGTGGGACCCACCTAGGGAATGGATGTTGACCAAGGAGGATGAGCTATATGAATCCGCTGTGGCCAGCAGGTGGCGCCAGAGACCCGGGAATCTCCCTGGAAACCGCTGCAGGAGTCAGCGGGGACAGGCAAAGCCAGCTGTCCCTGTTGGGGAGAGGGTGACCTCTGACCCTCCAGGGACTCACCAGGGAGGCGCGGCGGGACATGCGGCTTAGTGGTTTGGGCAGGTCTGGGCTCTCCAGCTGTAGCTTCTGCAGGAATTCCTGGGGCAGACGGATGTCCATGGGCAGGGAGAGCCTCTTACTGATGTCCTACAGTGACCGGGAGGAGACAGGGACACCAGTGTTTGCTCCTGGGTAGCTAGCACTGTGGGACCCTTGCCTGTCACCCTGGGCCCAGCATTTCCTGTGGAGCAACTCCAGCAGCGCCAAACCACAGCTGTGACCCAGGCTCACAGCTGCTTCACAGACATGCTCAGAGACAGTCATGAACCCCAGGGGTTGCTGTGTGACCTTAGGAGGTCCTCTCCCCTCTCTGGCCTGCACTATCACCATCTGCAGAATGAGATTCCCACAGACTCTGATTCTGTAAGCACAATTTTCTTATACTTGGGCATATGCGTATGGGTCATAAGAACAACAGTCAAATTGTCTAGTACCGGGGATGTCCTAAGCACTTGGCATATATGAACGCATTTAATCTTCACGATGACCATTTTAACACAAGGAGACTGTGGTACACGGAGGTTGAGAAACTTGCTCGAGGTCACAGAGATAATCAATGGCACAGCTGGAATTTGAACCCATGAAGTCTGGCTCCAAGGCAACCACCCTCCTGGGCACACATTTGTGGGTGCGTCCTGCCACGTGTACAGGGCAGAGCCCAGAGCCCCTCACCTCCATGGAGAAGCGGCGCTGGCTCTGGCGTCGGTACCGCATGCCAGGGGACGGCTGCCCGGGGTCCTCCCCACTGTCTGTGGGGGAGAAGGTGCTGGACACTGGCTGGAGGTCTCTGCCAAGAGGACCGAGCTGCAGGTCTGAGAGGGAGAGGCATGAGCTCCCCTCCCTGCTCTCGGCCCTGACGGAGGAGATTCTACCTCCCACCTCTGTCCTCACCCTCCAAGGCCAGCGGCGATGCTGAGGTCAGGGAGGGCAGGGATGGGCTTGGGGGGACGCCGGCGGCGGGGGGCCCAGACCCCTCACCCTCATTGCGCCGGTTGTGGAGCTGGTTCAGCTGCTCTGTGAACTCAGCCAAGGACTCCTCGATGGTCTCAGTGCGGGGCACTGACAGGGAAAAGCGGCGCTTAAAGTTCTTCATCTTGTTCATGGTCGGGAGGGGCCAGGTGGCGGGGTCCTGAGATGGAGAAGAGCAGGTGAGAACAAGGCACAGGGTCCAGTCGACACCAAATGTGAATTCCGGGTCTTGGTCTCGGTCTTCCCACCAAGCTCTGTTGCCCTGCACTGGGAGCCAGGGTCATCTTCTCCACCAAAGTTGGAGCTCCTGGGGGAAGAAGTCCTGACCCTCTTACTCCCTGTGACTCTCATCCCCCCAGGATTCCCTGCCCCTGGGGAGATATGCACAATATGTATCAACCAGACAGCAAAGTACTCCTTATAACAGAGGCAGGATGGCCAGTAGGATACTGGAGGCCCTCCAGGCCCAGACGGTAAACTTTTAGCTGCCAGAGGTCTAGAGAGTTCTGGAAGGGGGGCTGTGGTGGCCCTTCGGCCAGCAGCTCTTTTACCAACTTGTGTGTCAGTGTTTAAATACGTCTACAGCCAGAAGCCTTGCTGATTGATGCCCATAGCTGAGCCTCAGCCCGGCCTCCACTCTTGTGACATAGTCTGGTCCAAACCCCACTGCATCCTGATACTGACACCGGAAGGTCCCTGTCTGGCTTGTCCTGGGTCCCCAGGAGGCAGGAAATGAGAGGAAAGGGACGAGAGAGGGGATGTGTGCCTCTGAGGGGCCCAGCCCCATCTCTCTAGTTGAAATTGGGATGTCAGGAGCAGCTGAAGGTCTCACGGGAAACAGGAGTTTGCCGGAAACAGAGGCCCCCGGGGAGGGAGGCTGGGCCCTGCTGGCCCCTCCCACTCGAGCCCCAGCAGGCAGGGTGTCCACCGCAGAGAACACAATAGGGAGAGGGGTGGGCTGTTTTGCTCATCCCCAGGCCCCTTCCCCAGCCAGAAGGAACCCCCTCCCTGCGCTCCTCAGCCCTCCAGCCCTCTGAGTGAGGAGACCCTACTGGCCTCCCAGCGAGACTGGTGCAACTGCTTCTTCCCACAGACCTTCCTCTCTGTCCTGCCCTGAAAACCCAGAGTGAGGCTGTCCTGCCTCCCCTCCATGGTTTCATGAGCTCCCAGTGTGGCCGCCCCCTCATCCTGCTCTGTCCAGTGGGGCCAGGACCAAGAGGCCTTACAAGGGCGCCCACCCACACCTGCCAAAAAGGTGTCAGGGGTCAGCCCTGTGCTGGGAGGGGCCCCCCTGCACCCTCTCCCAGCTTTTACCCGTGCACCAGGCACCACCCATTCCCAGAGGATGCTCTCGGCCCATCACTGGCCAGTACCCAGTTGCCAAGGCAACCAGGCCCCTCCTGAATCCTCCTGGTTTAAGGGATTATGGGTCAGTAACATGTTTGCTTTGCTTAATGATCACATCCTTCTGTCCTCAGCCAGCCTGCAAAGGGTCCTTTCCCTGGGCCTGCAGGCTGCCCCCAAATGCAGCTAAGCTGTGGCCCTCCACCTCCCCTAAGCCCAGAGACTGGGTCGGGCCAGGCCCTCCTTCCTAGGCCAGCGCCTCTCAGAGGAGAGGCCTCGGGTCTGCACTGCCAGCTGAGCCTGTCGGTGGGCCCTGAAGTCTCACGCAGTTCAGCTCAGCAAACGAGGACTGAGCTCCTGCCACATGCCAGGCTTTGTGCTAGGCCCAGGGACTGCAGCGTAAGTGACGTATGGTCCCTACTCTCAAGCAACTCAGGGGCTGGCGAGGCTTCCTTCCATGAGAAGGCAGCTGACAGCTCTTCTTCCAGCTTCCTTGGCAAAGCCCACCGGCCTTGGACTTTCCTGATCCTCCATCCAGAAGCTCATTCCTGCCACCCAACCTCAGCCGCTCCTCCGTGGCTGTCTCCGGCCTGCTGTCTACGGGATTCTCATAGACAGGAAGCTCCCAGGGCAGCTGTGCGCCTCGCACGCTTGTGTGCAGCCAGCCCGGGGGCACCCATAATGGAGCTTCATGATGGTAGCGCACGTGGGTTCCAGCGACATGAGGACCTAGACACGCCCTACATGTTGACTCACATTTCCCACCACTACAGGAGTGGAGCTGTCCCTACCGCACAGATGAGTTGTTTACAAAGTCGGCTGAACATCAGCACCACCAGGGAGTTTTGTAAAAAATTCAGATTCCTGGGTCTCACCCTCAGATTCTGCAACTGAGGCTCTGAGGATGGTGCCTGGGAAAATGCATTTTTAAAAAGCATTCCCAGTGCTGTGGACATTCCACAGGCTTCCAGACTGCCCTACCGTGCTGAGATGGGAAGTGCTCAGAGCTGGGGAGGCGCAGGAGGTGGAGGGCATGCTGAGCGGAGCAGGAGACTCCTGAGGGGAAGAAATGTCTACCCTGCACAAACTGATGCCCCAGTCCTGGGGGGTGCAGGCACTCGGCTCTCTGAGGTCTGAGCTCTGCCAAGAGGGGCCAGCCACGCCTCCTTCTAAAAACAGGGCTCCCATAAAGCTGTCCTGCCGTCTGGGATTTATGGGATGGCGCATTGGGCTTGTGGCTCAGGAATCTACCAGTAGCCGCCATAAATCTCACGCCCTTGCTCCTGCCTGTGGAGGAGGGGGAGAGAAGCTCATTAAAAGCCTTCTGGGAGGGAGGCCCCCAATTTCCGCAAGATGAAGGGGCACCATCCCTGAACTGCACCTGCTCTCCTGATGGCTCAGTTAGGAGCAAGGAGCCACCAGCTTGGGCTTGGGGCAGGGTGGAAGGTGGGACAGGGAGCCAGAGGGAGGGTGAAACTGGGGACAGCTGACTCGAGCAGGAAGGTGGGGCCAAGCGATGCAGAGGGATGGGGACCAGCTGTTCTCCACCCAGCCTGAGACGAGATCAAGAGGAAGTGGCTGTCGCTGCAGCAGGAGTGATGGAGGTCAGATGTGGGGATGAACTTCCTGATGGTGACAGGGGAGGGGGCAGCAGGGGTGGTGACCGCAGCAGAGAGTGGACGCCTCTCTCTGCTGGGGACAATCGGGGCATTGAACCCAGCAGGGTCTTGGGTGTGACAGGGCAGACTGGGCAGTGAATGGTCTGTTGTTCCCGAGCTCAAGACACAAGATGCCTCTGTCACTTTTCCCTTGGGAGAGTCAGCTCCTCAGATTTGGTGGTCGAGGGGGAAGGGAGACAGGAAAAGGGGCTGTCACCTTGGTGCCGTCTGCCCCTCACCCCCATCTGGGGACAGAAGGGCTCAGTGTGACCCAGCCTGAGGCCAGCCCAGGGCCAGGCACAGTGTGGCCTTTGTCCCAGGGCCAGGGAGCCATCTGGGGCTGTCCCCGGGCAACTGGTGCCAGGGGAAGAGGGAGATGGGTGTCCAGGGATGTTGGCCGGGGTGCGGTGGGGGGACATGGAAGGAGCACAGTCCCCCGTGGGAGCCGTGGGGATGGGCAGGCAGACCCCCAACCAGGCCTGCCCCTTGCCCCCCTGCCCAGGTAAGTCCATCAAGTTCTCAGCCCACCTCCCATCCCTTCCTCCTGGGCACACACCAGCCAACCCAGAGGTCCCTGCTGGCACCAGAGAAATAGGCCTGGAGGAAGGAGCCAGGCCAGGGGAAACCGACCTCGCCAGAGGCCACTGTGCGCCAGGGAGAAGGGCCGGACTCCCAGCGTGTGAGCAGAGGAGGCACTTACAGAGGCCCCTCTCCAACCCCTCACCGGCCCTGGAGGACGCGGAGGCTCTGAGAGGGGAACTGACTTGCAGAAATGCATGCAGCAATTTCCTGGCTGTTGCCAAGTGCACCAACTCCGTGACCACATGGCTCCTTTCTCCTCCCAACTGGATCTGGCCCCACCCCGCCCCTCCCTGTGGCCTAGGCTGTAAGGCTGTTTCTCCACTAACCCCACCAAGAGTTAATAAAAGCCAGACAAACCCAGGTTCAAATTCTGGTGCTACCACTAGCAGGCTGTGTGATGGCGAATGAGTTACACAATCTCTCTTCGCTTTAGCTCTGGTCATTCATTCAACAATTACTTATTGAACAGCTATTATACACCAGGCACTGTGGTTGACCCTAAGAATCCATTTGTGAACAAAACAGACATTCATCTTGCCCTCATGGTACTTACATTCTAATGGGGGTGGGGAGGGGCAGCACAGACAATAAAATAAATAAAATACACAGTATGTTAGATGGTGGCAAAGACAATGGAGGAAAATACAGCAGAGAAGAGGGTTGGGGTGTGAGAGGTGGGGCGTTTTAAATAGGGTGGTTAAGAAGGCCTCTCTGGGAAGGTGACATCTCAGGAAAAATTCCAAGTAGGTGTAGGCGAGGGAGCTAGTCATGTGGAATCTGGGGGAAGCAGATCAGCAACGGAACAGCAGGTACAAAGGTCCTGAGGCAGGAGTGAATTTCGTATGATCTATGAACAGAATGTGGCTGGAGAGGAGGCCAGAGGGGAAGATGAGCAGACCATGTCAGGCCTTGTGGGAACAAGAGGGTGTGAGCAGATGAGTGATGTGATCCCACTTTGATTTTAATAGGCTCCCTCTGGCCACTGTGTTGAGAACAGACTGTGTGGGCAAGGAAGGAAGCAAGGAGCCTGATCAGGGGGCTACTGTAGAGATCCAGGTGAGAGATGGTGGTGGCTGAGACCAGCGTGAGAGCAGTGGAGGTGGGGAGAAGTGGTTGGCTTCTGCACAGATTTTGCAGGTGGAGCCAAAGAGTCTGCAGACGGATTGTACATAGGGTGAGAGAAAGGAGGCAGGCACGACTCTCAAAGGTTTTGGCCTGAGCAACTGGAAGGACAGGGAGGTGTAAAGGGCTCCTGGACCCAATTCCAGCGTGTGTGTGTGCGCGTGTGTGCATGCGTGTGTGCGCGTGTGCGTGTGCCTGTGTGCGTGCCGAGGCCTCCCCACACCAACGAGCAGTTCTCCGACACCAGCAGGGTGTCCACCAGGACACAGACCAGGTTCCGTAGGTGAAGGGCTCAGCCCCACAAGACCGCCCTGCACTTCAGGCGCCAGCTGCAAGCCCAGGTTGTTGCCAGCGCTCTCACTGACTGGCTACAAATTAGAGGTTCCAACGACCCCCTCCTCGGGTTCAATTAATTTGCTTGAACAGCTCTCAGAACTCAAGAAAATCCATTTAC